GTAAGCAGCCCTGTGATCTGTTGTCTTATAGAACTCCTGGTATCCTCATCTGTCCCTATGTGAAGCATAACTGGCTCCAGTGCGGCTATAAAGTCCAATGGCTGAGCATCCATAAGGTTATGGTTAATATCACGCTGCAGTAGGGTGAGTTGTGGGTTAGTTAAAGGTTTTGAAGAGAGATTACATACCAACTCATTCACAAAACTGTTATATTGGGACTTACGTATAGAATCCATCTTGCATTGGAGATGTATTGTTGTTTTCTGACTCGTTCTTTCTGCCACCATTTTGATGTGGTAGCTCAAGGCCTGGAAATGCTGTTCTGATAATGCTGAGTCACAACGCTGTCGATGTTCCTGAACACATTTTTTCAAATGCTCCACCCGTCTATGTTGATCATTTATAAGGGCTTTTATAGTTCTGCGTTGGAACTGGTGGAGAGCCTGTTGGAATTCATTTGTATCTATAACAGGCTTTCTTCTCAGCATTTTAGGTGGTAAATCTTCTTGAGCACAAGTATGTAAGAACGCTATCCTGCGGTAAACTGCCGAAATGCAACACGTCAATTTCTCCCACTTTCTGGCGGGTGAGCAAAACTGCTCGATCATAAAATTCAAGAATATTGGTAAAAATACGACTCCCGGGCATAATTATAAATAAAAGAATAATGGCTCACCCATCTCCAGTATTGTGGCTGAGGTGGTCCTCCAGCAACTTGAAGATAAGGCTATGGCTTTATACCAACCCAAGTTTTGGGTGAGGTACGTGGACGACACGTTCGCTGTTGTCAAAAGACAACATGTGGCTGCATTTATGGGAATATTGAATTCCATCTACTCTGATATAAAATTTACTGTGGAGGAGGAAAAACATAACACCCTTGCCTTCTTGGATGTATCTATCCATCGCCAATTGGATGGATCCTTACATACAAACGTGTTCCGTAAGCCAACTCACATGGACAGAATCCTCCATTATCAGAGTAATCATCCAGTTTCCCATAAAATCAGCTGCATTAAAACGTTATTTAAGCGCGTTGACTTCCACTGCAGTACGGATGAGTATAAGAATGAGGAGAGGAGACACCTCTTTCGCATATGCCGTTATAACGGTTATCCATTAAGATTCATCAGACGGCATAGCGTAACAACCCATCTCCAGGTTAACCAACATAGAGAAGAACCTCCCTTACAGAGAACACGCATCTCCCTCCCATATATTAACAATATCTCAGAGACCACGGCCAGACTGCTGGCCCCCCATGGGATAGAGGTGGCTCACAAGCCAAATCAAACTCTACGGTCTAAAATCATGCGCCCAAAGGACCCCCTACCTCCCATGGAGAAATCATCTGTTGTCTATAAGATCAACTGTAAGAATTGCCAAGGCAACTATGTAGGGGAAACAGCCAAACGCCTGAAGACTCGTCTCCATGAACACCAGTTGGCTATAAAACGGGGCGAGCAGCGTTCACAACTTTGGATGCATATGGTGCAGGAGGGCCATCAATTTGATTTTGCTAATACCTGTATCGTAGCTAGTGATGCCATGAAGGGAGGCCGGCTACTGAAAGAGGCCTGGTTCTCGAATGACAGCTCAATTAATCGTCGCATTGACTTGCATCCAGTGCAACAAGCGCTGCGGAAATGGGACACAAATCATCACTCATTACATCGCAAGCAATCATACCAACACCTGCGGCGTTATGGACAGGAACCCGCATCCCCTCGCCGTCGGAAACACCTGCATATGGACGTAAATAACTATACCATCAACACCCCCTTGCCAGGTGACCGGCACTGGATCGTGCGGCGAGAGAGTCTCCCACCTCAACATGTGGATGCTGGAATAGAGGCTATGGACTCCCCGCGCACGGAGAAAGAAAGGGAGGGGGTGCCCGATATGGACGATCCATGCACCGCCCAACAACCCCATGTGAGCCTCACACACCCCCCAGGAGGGAGGGAGCGATATTAATGGAGCCGGAACACCTAGAAGACTTAGTGCTAAAATCTCGGAGTGTGTGGTTGCCCATAGCAATGAAGAGGAGCGTCCCATGTGGAGAGGGGAGAGAAAGCATAGAATGACAACCCGCTCGATCAGCAAGGGGAGGAGTAATGAGAGCGGTTTGAGTGCCAAACAACGGGAGGGAACGTATGTAAGGAAGATTGAGGTGGGGAATAAAGACTTGATTGTTGAGGCATACCATACCCGGATAGGAGCTGTTAACATGACAAAGGAGAGAGATACACAATTGGGAAGGGATATTAACCCACAGTTAGTGGAGCCCTATCCCCATTGTAAAACACAGGAAAGCATCAGATCAAGTTCTCCCCCCCCCCCGACACGGCAGACGTTGGTATTATCGGAAGAGGAGGGGATGTAAGGTTACTAACGCCTCTAAAGACCAATAGTGGAGGGATAGGGAAGGGCATCCGAAGAAAAGAACATAATGTTATAGACACATCTTGGCTTTCAGCTGGCCAATCAGGGCCAGTAACACGGTCTAAGAGCCGTGCGCAAACATTACTTGAACCTACTTAAACCACCTTTACTGTAATGGCCTTTTAGCCCTGATGATGCTGGGGAGTTCCCCTAGCGAAAGCTTGGCAACTTTTTAGTATTAATATATATGAAGCAGCTTCCATTTTTCTCTACAACAGTTACAAACAACTTCATTATCTTTCCTCCCTCTTTAAAGTTACAACGTGGTCCTCTTTATCCCATAGTCAACCCTTTTTTAATCAGCATATCCATAAATCACCAATTCATTGTTTTTCAATTTCAGCAAAAAGTCCATAAGAGGTTTCTAAGAAGTATAATCAATGATTTGATGCAAGCCAAATTTATTTGTACTTTCTTCTGTTTCTTATCTCATACTTTAATCTCTTCAGCTTACTATTTCTTGCTCTTTTTTGCACTTTGTCTATCACAAAGGGAATAACGTTTGGGGCATCTATGTTACAATAGAAATGCATTGTTATAATCTTTCAGGCATACAGATTAAGCAGTTCTTAAATGTTGGAAGGTTGTCTCCTTATCATATAACAGGTAGCTTGGCATCATACAAATTGTGTAGCATTGGACACTTTGTACGCACACACACAATCTTCCCAGCATTATTTAGTGGATAAGCTCTTTTGTACAGTTCTTTACATTTTTGCTGCCTTTCTGTATCTTAAGGGGAATATATCAGTGTTATTTCAGTCAGAATCACTGCACGCATTGAATCTTACTACAGGAATCTTAATGTAGGGGTATAAATAATAGAGTAATGATAAAAAAAATAATGCTTTTCATGCAGACTTGACAATCATCTCCAAATATTACTGATTTGTGTAGTTGTTTTATTATTTATTTTGTTTTCCTACTGCATCCAGGTAGATTTGCTGCCATGAAACTCACACACAGAATTCTTATTTTTTACCAAACATGGAAAACTTCAAATCTTGTCTGTGAAAATAACGCCCATGAATTTTTGCCAGATGATATTTCTTGGAACAGAGCAGAGAGCACAGATTCAAAAGCTATACTGCCTCCTGTATGCAATACAACAGAGCTACAATATACTCTATCTTTCAGCTGCTAAGAAGGAGGGATAATAGTCCACTAGCAAGTAGGATATCCTTTAACTGCATCTTGCAGATCTGAGAAAGAGAGATAAAAAATACTATGGGATAAAGTTTTTGTTGTTCAGTAGTCCCATTTCATTCACAGAATTTTATAAACAGAAAGGCAAACCTCATTTTCCATTGAACACCCTGCTGTTTCACCCACTATTTCCTTCTTCTTTGGAACAAAAATATCTGTTATGGAAGGAAAGACTACATTCCCACTTTTTGATAGCAAAAATCCACCACTGGAAGCACTTTTGATCACCAATGCACACCTTTTCTGTGAACGGTTCTATAGCCCCAAATCTCCTCCTCCTCCCAACAGATAGACATTGGGAGAGAGAGAGAGACAGCTGATGGGGGAATGATCATGGTATTATCTAAAGGTAAAAAGGCAGGCTGCTCAGCTGATTGGTAGACAGATCAATGTTAGACCACATGGTTGTAGTGGTTTCTTTTGGAAGATTCCCTGCTGGCAAATTCCCCATAAATATAAGGAGTGACCAATTCTATGACCAGCAACTCTATAAATTCTCTTATCAAGGCAGATAATTTGATATATATCTTCAAAAATGAAAGGTTTGCTTCAAAAATTAATACAACACAAATCCATCTTCTTTTAAAACTTTCCTTTTTTTTCTTATAAGGATACAGTCTACATTGACATTCCTAAATACAGCCAATGTGGTAAAAACAGATTTTTCTACTGCTTCCATGTATGGATTCTCCACATGGAATGGTGACTGCGATCCATAAAGTATATTTTTTTATATATATACAGATAGGATGTTTTCCCCCAAAAAATGTATGTAACAAAGAACCATGATCTTAGAGTCAAGTGTTTTATAGATCTTATAGAACCAAGCTAATTATAACTTTAAAATGATTATTTAGATGCAGAAGGCAACAGCTTCAAAAAGTTCAAAAGAATTCTTAATTTAATTAATTCAATATAGATGTTTAACAAGACTATTTATATTCTGGAGAACACTAATAAAAATGGAAAATGCCAATGATTCATCAAACACAATAAAACAACACAAACTCTAGATTCTCAGCAGGGTGACCAGGTACTCCAAAACGATCCACTTTATACAAGGTTGCAGGATGAATATGAGTGTGACAGCTGCAGTTTTACCAATGTGAGCAGGACAGTTTGCTTTACTGAAGCTCCCATCCCTTTTATGCATCCTGAAAAAATGCAGGATCTGCTCTGCCCCTTCCCCCTATCTTTATTTCAAATTATTTATTTTTCAAATCATGCATCTCATAAGAATGAGAGTTCCTGCTCCTCTCCTCTGTCGCAGATACATTTGTCCAAGTTAAAAAAACACAGAAACTTCAAATAAGTTCTCCATAAAGAATAACAACAGAGGAGCTACTTACAATAACTTCTGTCCCCGCCCTTCAAAGCTGAGAAGATGGGCTTGGTGTGGATTCCAGTAAGGTTCTTTTGCAAAACACTTAATACTCCACCTCTTCCCACCTCTGTGGCGTGTGGCTGATTGAACCTGACAGTGACCTGGTGCACTAAGAAGTTTGAAACCCACTTGGGAGCCACAGCTGGTCACCTGGTGTCTTAATCCCACTCCCATTACAAAAGGCACTCTGTGGTCTTTGGCTGTGCTCTTTCCTAATCTTCTGAGTAAACCGTATGTGTTTACAGAGGCAGCAGCCTGGGAGAGGGGAAACAGGGGGTGGCCCTTCAGCTGGGGCTGCTCCTGTTGGCTGACTCCTGGCACAGCCGTGGCCTCCACAAGAAGAAAGGCATTTATCACACTAATTCTTTCCTGTTTGGATCTTTCTGAAATGTCATGATTTTTAAGAAACCCCAGGGATTAAGTGGGGCTGGAATTTTCCACAATGTTTATAGGGGGTTTGTCATATTGGATGCAGCTCAACTCTCATGGGCACAGACTGTGTCTTGCTATGAGCTAGGACATTGAACCCAGGTGTAGGCTTATCTTGATGTGCCATCACTTCGTCAGTATTTGCCAGGAGGATTCTACCCAATCATAGAATTGTAGCATTGGAAAGGACCTGAGAGGTCATCTAGCCAAAATCTGCCGTTCAAAGAGGGTTCTAACTCTACAGCTATTCATAAACTCTTTCTTCACCACCTCGTGCGAAGAAGAGTATACCTTGAACAGCTTGTTCAACTATCAAACCCCTTACAGTGCTTTTTGGAAGTTTCTCTTTATATCTGTACAATTTCCAGCCATTTCTACCCAGTAGAAAGTAAATCTTCTTCCTCTTGTGTTTGAGAAGATGTGATAGAAGTCCTGTTTGAGGAACTGGTTCTGTGAAATCTATTTTGCAAATGGAAGAATCTACATGTGTCTGTCTTTGCGATTATAGTATCAAAGAGAACATATGACATGCAGTCCAATCTTCTTGATGCTCTTTCTCCTTATTCTTTATACTGGCTAAAGAATCATCATAACTTCTGGGTGCTGCAGCATACAACGAGTTTCAAAGTTGCATATTATCCGTTTAATTGTGGACATAGCACTGGCATAAAGAAATAGGTAATTTTCTATCAATATCTTGAAATTAGGTCATTACAAAATTGACTGGACTGGGTTTTCAGATCAGATTAAACTGAGAAAGCCAATAGAAATTGCAAAGTGGGGAAAGGATAATTTGTGCTTCTTCTAAAGGATTTCTTCTAAAGGATAATTTGTGCTTCTTCTAAAGGAAATGGGTGTTTCCCCCCCCCCCAATATCAGATGCACACACAAATTAAGGAGCTATGTTTTGGACTGTTCACATTTGTCCAAAGAAGCTTGAGTGAAAACAAGCACATAAATAACTAGAACAGTGGTTCTCAACCTGTGGGTCGGGACCCCATTTGGGGTCAAACGACCATTTCACGGGGGTCGCGCTGTCTGCCATTTTTTCCCCTTTTCCTTAGCTGTCCTATTCCCTCTTATTGGTGGCCACACCCACTTGGGGGTCACCACAACATGGGGAACTGTATTATGGGTCACGGCATTAGAAAGGTTGAGAACCACTGAACTAGAACTTGTAACTCCAAACAAGTGGCTTTTGCAACCCTGTTTTTCTTATATTTATGAAGTTTGTGCCTAGTGTTTTCTCTAATCCATGAATGCAACCAAATTTGCTGATAGTCCTTATTTCTCAATTAATCAGTGGAATGGCTTGCGTCCAGAAGTTGTGGATGCTCTATTACTTAAAGTTTTTAAGAAGAGATTGGACAACGATTTGTCTGGAATGGTAGATGGTTTGAGCAGAGGTTTGTAGTAGAAGACTCTAAGCTCTCTTCCAACTCTGTTATTCTGTATTCTGGGTACACAAAAATCATCTACTAGCATCTCCATGTACTTACAAGAGGGAGTGCTAATTATATTAGTATTCCATCTCAGAACTAAATTTTAATCTAAGTATATTAGGCATAAAGGTAATGATCATTAAAAATATTCTGTGTATAAGTTGAATTTGATTTAAACAGAGACAAGGGCACTGAATTCATAGAACCATCTGACCATGATCTGGAGCAGATAAAAACCAAAACTGTCACAATAATATGAACTGTTAGTAGAATCTGCAAAAATAGAGCTCATCCTTTATCTTTCTGCTTAGTTTCAATTTAATTTTAACACAACTATCCTTTCATAATGAGCTATCTTTGTACTGTTCATTAGAACCACACACAAATTATCTGGGAATTCTTATCCAACTTTTGTGGACAAAAGTGTGATCAGAACACAAGACTATAAATTTATAGGGCAGTTTGGGCTTTTCCACTGTCATCTATAATATACAGTATTGCATATTTCACCTATTAATGCTAGCAGTCACATTTCTGGAAGCAGCCCAAGGATATACTGAAAAACAGCCAGAGGGAAAAAATTGGTCCTAATTCAGATTTGAAAGAGTGAGTGAGGTACATTCTAGGTACACAACCCAGCTCCATCTCGTGGAGATTTGTGGAACTGCTTTTGTCAGCAACATGAATACAAATGACTGTACACACAGAAATTCTCTGTTCTATGAACCTGTGTTAATAGAAAAGCTGCGCTGATCCAATATAAAATTTTTGATATATTTTCCCCTAGATTAGGAAAGATGATTTCCATTCTGATTTTTGAGATTTTTGAGCAATTGGAAAGAAAAAGAAATATTAGAGGCATTTTTGTTTCAAAGAAGATGCCTGGAAATTTAATAATTAAAAATACATGCAAATGCAATGGACATCCCCCACTCCAGTGGTGGGATTCAGCCGGCAGAACCGGTAGCAATTTTTTTGTTGCCCAGGCCAGAAAGGACTTCCAGAAGCGGCATCCACACAGAGAACCGGTTGTTCACATATTTGAATCTCACTACTGTCCCACCCCCACATTGCCTCATCAATTCGGTGGTGGTGGAGGACATTTGAAGACAACTATCAAATACTGGGAATTAAATCAGGAAGAAATAGTTTGAAGAATGTATTTGTCCATTTTGGCAACCTTAATCTTAGCTGAATTTCTTCAGTTCTTATATGTTTGTATCTTTCCCATTTACTGTTGGCTTGCCACTTTGTGTAGACAACTGTTTGAGAAGCAGGATATTCATGTGTTGAGTAAATCAATAATACAATAGAAACGTATGTATAGAAAATGGCTTACACATTAACTCAGGCATGTCAAACTCGTGACGTCACATGATTGTCAGTTTGAAAAGCATTTTAAAAAAATTGAGAGTAAATGCGGCTGACAATCTCCAGATAAAATGTAATCTACATGAGAGCTGTTATACCCAGAAATAATATTTCTTGCTATTCTTTACTATATTTTTAATCACTCATAATTCCAGCAGTCATATGTCTTTAATTATAAGGGACAGTTCTTTCTTAGAAAAGCTATCACTCAGATGTATTTAATTTACTTCTTTTCTTTGTTTTGCTTTTGAATTTTCCTTTGTGAAGCAAAGTTATAAACATAAACAATTATTTTTATCCATATGAACTCTTTCAGAGTTATCCCTTTTCAGCTTTGTCCTTTATTTTTTCCAAGAAAATATGATCACTGTACTCATAACAGAACAGGAAATGGGATGCCCAGTGCCATAAAGTATTCAAAATATTTATAGCTCTCCTTTGCAGTTAGAAATTCAAGCCACTTAAAGCACCTAACATTAAAAGGCAAACAATCCAGGTACAAAAAACATGCTATCAATCTGAACAAACAATGAGCTGAACAAACAGCAAATATACAGAGTACTGTGAATAAAAAAAATATTCACCAAATTGCTACTTAAATTAGTAACTAACATACAAGCAATGACCAATATTATCCAAGAAGCAACAAATCTCCTGCGGGAGTGAACATACCAAGGAACTGAGACCTTGCTGGAAACTTGTGAACTGATAAAACCTTCAAGGTTTCCAGAGTCCTTAAAGTGACAGACCTATTATCCTTATTATTTTAATACAAACTTTCCTCTGTACCTTCCTGTTTTGTTGCTGCCTTTGTTCAAACAATTTTCAGTTCATAATTCAAAATATGCCTCAGGTAAACAAAAATGGCCTTCAGGAATGAGTGTATGTCCAATACTAATGTATAGTAGTGGCCAAAATTGTGGAAACCTTTTGGGAAAAGTGTACAGTAGAAATGCCACCTTTGGTTAAGTTTCCACCAATTTTTCTTCTAATTTCTTTATAATTGTAGCCTTGTTCACTTAATAATACTATTTTACATCGCTTTCTGGGCAACTAGTCAACTCTTTGCACCATTACTTTAATTTTATTACGTTTTACAAGCTCACTAAATGAAACAACACAAAAAACCCCAACCAACTTGATAGCAATCACATAACATACTGACAAATGTCCTCCTCTCAGCTTCAATACATGACAACAATAACTGAATCCTACTGTGATCTGATTGGCTCATTGCCAAAACAAGATGACACCTGATTGGCTCTCTAAACACTCATGCTCATTGGATATAATCAGATGAAGGAAAGCTATCTGATATCAACCTAAGCAAGTTGTGCTTCCTTTTTCTGGTTATTTGGCTATAACTTTTCATAGAATACAGTGCAGATAATTGAACAAACTTTGTTGCATTACATTCTTGATTAAATTATCTTTCCATTGATATATAATTTTATGGTACTACCCCCCCCAAAGGTGGTGTTATTAGTCAACAAATCTCAAAAATACACTTTTCCCAAAAGGTTCCCACAATTTTGGCCATTACTGTAAGGGTTGCAAAGCCTAATGTTGTGATATTGTCATGCAAATGTTGAGATAGACTCCTAATCAACAGCAGATTCCCAGAAACATGCTGACTCTCACAATACATCTGAAATGGTTTAGATTTTTTTTAAATACTCTGTAACTGAAATGCACATATTTGCTTGTTTCTTGGCTCAAAATCTGCTTCTTTTCATACATTTTTTAAATTTGGGAGCTGGGGACTGAATTACCTAAATCAGTGTTTTTCAAACCTGGCATCTTTAAAACCTGTGGACTTCAAGTCTCAGAATTCCCCACATCTTAAAGT